AATGACTTCAGCATTCTGGTTCAAATTATATCTAACAATAGTACCACTGAATAAACTAAAACATTTAAAAACGATCTCATTTTATAGATACAAAAATAACTATCTCATTTTCTGAAGTTTCTTATTCTTTTTTTTTTTTTTTTTTTTTTGGCTCCAAATGCCTTCAGGGCAAGTTTGGCTGGCTTGAGTTGTGGGGATCGAATCACAGCAACCTGAGCCTGACTGCTTTATTGAAGCAGTCACTTAAAGCACTGAGCTAAGGGGCAGGGCCCTAAAGTTTCTTATTCTTAAGAACTGAAATTTAATTTTTTAAAAAAAGAATGCATTACTTAAAAGTCCTTAGTTTTCAGGTCTCTTTTGTCATGTAATGCTTGATAGACAAATTTAATTAGCTTTAGTCAAGTGACACACAGTAGGTACACAAGGGTGTTTTGAGTAAACACATTTAGACCAGAATTGTGTGCTAGTAACAAGCTTCTGGACTTGTCTCCTTTATATGAAGTATGGTGGCTGCTAAGTTTCAGATATAATTTGTAAAACATAAGGAAAATTTCACTTTAAAAAGCACAATAAAAGTAAACCTTTCCCCTTATAATTAAAAAAAAAGATGTCCAAGTATTAATGCATGCTAATTTTTTTCATATCACTAGACATGACACTCAGGGAAAGATATGAAGAATCTCTAATTGAAAAAGCCACCAACAACTTCAGAGAATGGGTACTTTAATCTTTCAGACAAATCTTTCAGAGGTTTTTTTTCTCCTACTCTTTAAAATAATACAACAGGATTTAGAAAATACAAGCTAGCAGAAATAGCAGCAAGATTAAATCATCTGTTATCCTACAACCCACAGCTAAATATGGTTGATATTTTGACATATCCTTCCAGGTTTTAATGAACATATATATGTTCTGAAAAATAAAAATGTGATAGTTCACAAATTACTTTAATTACTTTCTTTCACTGATAATCTATTCTGAACATCCTCTGTGACAAAAATGATTTTTAATAAGTGTATAGTATTTCACATACGGATTCATGTATCTAAAGCCCAGTACTTCTCTTAAATTCCTGAAAAAGTACTCACAGCCTTTAATTCCATATTACCACCCATGTGAAATTCAATAGTTTTGCCCATAATGAACACTCCTTCATTCCCACGCACAATAGCACGCCCATCAACTTTTATATTTAAGTCACTGGTAGCATTGCTGGTAATCTAAAAATGAAACAAACAAAAGAAAGGACTGAGAAGAGTTTCTGAATGAGCATGATAATTATTATCATAGACAGATAAATGGTAATTTCAACCAAGAGATACGAAAGGAAATTTTATAGAGGTGGGAACTGATATAAAGGACCTGATAATTCTCAGACAAGCTAGGTATTAACGGATCTAAAACTACTAATTTCCAACGTTCTAGAATACATTCTCTTGTACCACAGCGAAGTAGGAAGCTTGTCCCCTGTTCTGTAACTTTAGATAACAATCTTCTCCTAGGGTAAAGCAAAGAAAATAAATCATACCCTTTCAGTAGATGCTTTTTGAACATTCAAACTTTTCACTCCACTCGGCAGATGAAACTCATGAGTTTCGTAGTCTGTACTGAATAAGACATTTTGAGTCCTTGGGTCGAAAAACTGCATGCCAATGTCACTTGTAATAGAAGTTTTGTTCTTTTCTACACTGAGCTTTGTCGTCCCTTGCTGAAAAACAATCTTCAGAAAAATATTTTATTGTGAATGCTTTCAAAGAATGCTGCAACCAAAATTCATAAAGAATACTATCTTAAAACAAGCAAACACTATTTTAAAAACTATAATAACAGACTAACTTCAAATATTTTTCTCTGTCCCCACTCCAATTAGGAAGAGTTTTTCCAAATAAAGGCTTTTACAGCTCTGCACAATTCATAGGTCATAGTGAACATGGCCCAGAGTAAAGGTAAGAATATCTTCTTGAAGTCTCACTCAGTTAGCAGCCTATATAATAGCTGCCGCCTGGCACGGCTGCCTACTTAGCTGTGAGGCATTCTCTTCCGGAGTCCCAGGAAGTACAAGACATTCTAACCTGCGAGTATGTTTTTCTTATAGTTCTGCATACAGAGAGAAAAGAATGACTTCAGCATTCTGGTTCAAATTATATCTAACAATAGTACCACTGAATAAACTAAAACATTTAAAAACGATCTCATTTTATAGATACAAAACCAACCACTATTAAATATTGGCTATTTATAAAAAATGAATACATTCATGTATAACAGTGCTTTTATTTCCTATATAGGAAGACATGCATTTTCAGAAATCAACTCTGTCTGGTTTATTTGTAAATAACTGCTCTCTACTGATGCTCTCCATGTTCACATGTTCACTTAACACTCTAACTTACAGGCTGGTTGTTGCCAGTGATGACCAAATTTTCATTTCGCCTTCCTCCTACTGTGCTCTTATACAAAGGATGAATAACTCCCATGTCAGATACTTGCTTAAATCTAAGCAGACCACTTTCATGAAACTCCATGCTGTCACAGCCATTTGGTCCAATCCGAATCACAGCCCAGATAACGAGTGTTATCTGAAAAAAGAGTGCAAGCCCCCCGTTAGTAAGCAGCATACACTTGACCATCTGGGAGACAGAGACGATCACTGCCAAGGCATTAAAGACTTCCTGAAATATTCAACTAGTAAGATGAACATGTCAAGTAGTTCTCTGTTTAAAAATAAAACAATTTTACTTTTATGAAGGTATTAAATAAAAATTGCTATAAAGTTAAAATATGCTAAAAGGTCTATAATAAAAAAAAGCAGTATCTTATTTCATCTACTTTCTTCCTATCTCACTCCCTAAGGATAATCATTTTCAACAAATTTGACTATTTCACCTGATATTTACCCACATATTTGTAAGTAATATATGTATACTATCATTTCTTCATTTGTCTATTTTAAGTTTCATCTATTTCTTATTTTAGCATGTGTGAATTTTAGCTTGCGTACATGTCCTTTTTCTCTCTCAACTCTAATCTCAAGTTCTAAGTTACTCACGTTCAGTACTTTCTCCCACCTAAGTACTAACCAGGCTGGAGCCTGCTTAACTTCTAAGATCAGACAAGCCTGGGTGTGTTCAGGGTGATGTGGCCACAGACATGCTCAGTACTTTCTGTATTATGGCCATGTAAATGCTGTTCACTGCTAAACCAAATACTTCACCATGACAGCAGCTTCTTTCTTATACTTTGTATCTCTGGGAGCTAACCTCTTTTTCTTTAATTTGCTCAGTTTCTTTGCAAATTTAATTCTCAATCTCTAACAACTGCACAAACCTCAAAAAGTTCTCTAAGTCCAAGCCTCATACAATGAAGACAATTAGTCCAAATGTTAGTTCTATTTTTCTCTCAGAAAAATCTCTCTGGCACCCATTGTCTGTTCCAGCCTGGCTGGTGGGCCTCTGGCCTCCTGCACAGCCCAAACTGTGAACTTTTCTTTCATTTTCAGGCTGTAACTCTGGTCTTTCCTTTCTCTGAGATATTCAGTTTTTCTGTCTTCAGTTTTCCAAATGTCTTTATAATTCCTCACATTTGATTGGTACCCTGGGTAGGTATTTTACTGATTTGAAATTACCTCCTTTCTAAATGTTCAAAGCCGCTGTTTTTTGCCTTTCAATCTCCAATGCTGCTTTTCAGAAGTCCAATGCCACTGTCTCTGTGTTCTTACATATAACCTGTTTCTTCCTCCCTCTGGAAGATTTTAGAATCTTTTCTTTACTCATCATTTTCTTAAATTTCACAGTAGTTGCTTGGATGTAAGTCTTTTCTCCTTCTTGTTCTTTTTAATGCATTATACCAGACTCAGAATAGTAGCTTTCCTTTATTTTAGAAACATTTCTTCATTACGTTGACAATGTTCCCTCTAGTGTTTTCTCTCTCTCATCACCTTCTGAATCTCCTATTAATTAACAAAACATTCTGGCACTGGTTTTTCATTTTTCTATGCTTGGGTTGGGTTTTTTTTTTACATTCTTTTATTTTTTTATTCAGTTTAATGAGAAAAAAAGATAAAATAGCAATGAAACAGTTTCAGAACAGGTTAGTAGGACAGTTAAAATAATTAAAGCATTGCATACTGTTGTCTTTGTAGTAGCTATTCAGAGGACAAGACGCAGACATGATATCTTGTCTAAACAATATTAGTGCAAATCTTTCTTCTCAATGAACTAAGAGAAAGTAGCTGCATATCTATCCTATCTTGTGCATATATACATATATATATTTTTTCACAACAAAATGGTTATTTATATCCCCCTTTTTTGTTTTGTTTTGTCAGAGATGGGTGTTCCATTGCTGTTAGGGAAGCTGTATTTGGAGAAGTCTTTAAAAGACCTTTGCTGGTGTTTTCATTTTTCTTGAACATTCTGGACAAGCTTATTTTCCAATAAGCAACCATCTATTTATCCATTGTGTATATTTCTGTGAGTTCTTCCTTATTTGCTCATTTTTAATTGTTTATTCTGATTCTTGGAGTTTTCCTTAAAAAAGTCTAGTAATTTCTGGCTCAGTGTTCATATTTAACAGTGATTCTATGAAATGTCCAAAGAAAATTCTCTAAGTATGGTCAGGCTTGTGACAATAGAGACAGTAGGTGTTTTTTTTTCCCCCACTGGGACCTATCAAATGCACTGCCACTACATCATTTATCTAAGTGTTTCGGTTCTCTACAGAGGCTCCTCTATCTCATTCAAATGGTCCTGCTTTTAGGATGGAAACCCAGAGAGGCTTTATTTAGCATGTGTGAATTTTAGCTTGCTTACATGTCTTTTTTCTCTCTCAACTCTAATCTCAAGTTTTAAGTTAACCTCACCTTCAGACTTCCTCCCATCTAAGTACTAACCAAGCTCGAGCCTGTTTAACTTTTAAGATCAGGGAAGATTGAAGGGCTGAAATAACCTGTTAGGTCTACGATGTCCAGATATCAGTATATTTGGATGGGTTAGAAGGGTAGCTGTCTAATCTTTCACTGGAAGAGAGGGTAAGCCCAGGCATCTCACTACTGACAGATTTTTCCAACAAATTCTGTTTCAGTTCCTGCTTTTCAAGGTTGAGTACTTATACTGCAAACTTCTATGGCCTTTTGGTATTAAGCAGAACACTTTACCAACACAGCCTGCCACTCTGTCCACCAAACGCACACAGGAGTCTCTCGTCTCTGTTACCTGCTATTTTCCCTCCTCCTTTTTTGTCTTCATTTATTGTGGCTCAGGACTGCAGTTGTCTTCCACTTTTTTCAAAGAAACTTCTGTTTCTTAAAATTGTTACTTTAAGTTCAGTTTTTTTTCCGTAAGATAGAAAGAAATCTCTTTCATCTGATGAAACCAACTTATGAGATAAAATAAGTTCAAAAAATGTGCTCTTAGTAAACCTATTTATGGTCCCTACTATCAAATGCATAGTACCAGATCTTGCGAACTTCAGTGAAGAACCAGACACAAATGTTATGATGCACAGAAAATACAGACTAGCTTAAGAACAGCAGAAGCAAAAACATTAATGGAATCACCTTTTTTTAAAAAAAAAAAAAAAAGGTTTCTTTTTTTGTGTGTGCAGGGTCTCACTACACAGCTTGGACTCGTAGTGATCCTCCTGATTTCTGCCTCCCTAGTGCTGGGATTACAGGCATGCCCACCACACCCAGCCTCCATTGCCCTCTCAGCACACCCGAGGGCAGGGCCAGCATGGCATGCAGTACCAGGGATCGAACCCTGGCCTCTGCACTGACCTAAGCAAGCGCTTAGTCTGCTGATCTCCACCGCCGGCCCTGGAATCACTTTTGAGCTGCTAGAGATCACATTTACAAGCATTCTTAGGTATACCAGTAATTATTTTCGAAAAACATCTGCTAAAGGGCTTCAAAATAAACCTCCAGAGAGTAATGATCTCAGTATTAAAAGATTTTTTTATTAAAAAAAAATTAAAATCCTTGGAAAAGGCAACACACCAGGTCCCTAGCAATGTAGTATGAGTCACCTACTAGATGCTTCCTTTCTTGGCAGTACAGACTTATAACTACAAAATATAGGCCATGACTGCCATCAAAGAGTTTACTTTTTCTTTTTTGTCTCAGAGTTTGACTACACAGTTCAGGCTGGCTTTGAACTTACTTTGTATCCCAGGTAGGCCTTGAACTTGCACAGATTCTCTTGCCTCAGCCTCCAACGTGCTGGGATTTCAGGTGTGTGCCACCATGCCCAGTGTGAGTTTGCAATTTTAAAACCTAGCTCAAGAGGCAACATCAAGTGCAAGAACAGCTGAATGAAAACCAAAAATGTTACTATTTTTTTAAGAAGAAATAGAGGCAATAAATAAAATCATGGCAAAGCTATTCTCTAGTCAGTTGTCTCCACTCTTACTAAAAGTGCTTTAAAATAATCCCTCAACTGCTTTTTTCTAAATGAGATTAATATAGAAAAATATTTGCCTACTAGCTTATACATCAATAAAACTTGAATTAAAAAGCAGAAAAGATGGCCCCAGAAGAAATTACAGAAACCATGTCCTTGAGATTATTAAAAGGATAAAATCCCCCCCATGGTAACTAAAAAGAAAGTATTTGCACCATATACTCACAATTAAATTGATGACAGCCAGGATAAACAAGAGGATAATTACACAGATGGCTAAGTTGCCCTTTCTCCCTCTTAACCCTGTTTTATGGAGACGATCTTCATCAATTGGAATATACCCAGCTTTGAAGTTACTGTTGTGCTCTTTATTGATGTTCCTCCTTTCAACAGCCTTCTCACGCATGGACTTCTTTACAGGGCCATTGGAACTTTGCTAAAAATGAGATACAATACAATGAAAAAGCTATCCCGTTTGGTGCATTTATTAAGTAGAAACCCACAACTATAAAAAGTTATTAAGATATAGACCTAAAATGTCCCCAAGGGCTGAGGAGATGGCTCAGTAGAATAAGAGCTTGCCTGGCAAGCGCAAGGGTCTGAGTTCAATCCCCGGTTCCACCAAAAAATAAAATAAATAAAAAATAAAATAAAATATCTCCAAAGTGAGTGTTCAGAGGCTGACACTTTTGGAAGGTGGATCACAGAGATCTATCATCATCAGTACTTTAACCCACTGATGAGTTCATAGCTGATCGTGGTGTTAGGAAGCTAGGCCTAGTTGGAAGAGGTGGGTTGCTTGAGGGCATGAGCTGAACAGATCTATTTTTGTCCCTGGCTTCTTCCTCTCTCTATTGGAGACCCCTACGGTGGGTTCCAATCACCTGCCTGGGTTACAGAGCACAGTGGGAAAGGAAAGAAGCGAGCAAAGCAGGGATCTGGGACAACCAGTTGCTCTCTTAGAACAAATGCTATGAGCCACCCAGAACCTTGTTATTATTCACTGAACAACATGGTGAAGGGATTGTGACTGGATGTATTAGACAAGTGGCAAAGCTGTCAAGGCTTATAACAGACGGAGTAAAGCATTCTATTTAACAAATAACCTGCTTTGTAGCCAATTCTGGCAAGGAATTTTCTTCTGGAGTCATGTAGGCCTCAGTGGAAACATTATCTCGTGTCTTGGCCCTACGGTATTACAGCTTGTTTATCTGAGCTCAACCACAGCATTGATAATAAAGTATATATTAGTCCATTATTGGCTGCCTGCTTTCATAAAGGTATGAACACAGCCTCGGCCAGACTCACTAGTTGAACTCAAAGCCAGTTTAAGGAAGTCACCGCTACAAAGTCTGCCCTGCTCATAAGTAAACACAATCACACTTAGGTCTGGGGAGGGTGATGTGGTGGCCCACATTTCTCTCTGCTTCCCGGCTGCCACTGGTTAAGCAGTTTTCCTCCTGCAGTCCCACACTTGCATTTCTGCTCTACAGCCAGCTGTCTGTGGACTGAACCCTCAGAAGCTGTGAGTCGAACAAGTATTCTGCTCCAGCAATGGGAAGGCTGAGCAACACAAAAGATGAGGAGTGTTCGTAAGTCCAATTTCTTAAGTCTGATAGTGAGTCTGATACTCATTTGATGTAAATACACAATGCAAAGCATTAAAAGATGATTATTGATATATTTTCCATTAACCAACTGCAAGTTATGTTGAGTTGCAGGTTCCAAGACAAGACACAATTGTACTTAGAGGAGCTGTGTGGAAGAACCTTCAATGTGATTATCTGACACATGTTTTCTGCTTTGCTTTCAACAGCCCTATTGCCAATAAGGTAAAGAGAGGTATCATATACATTCTACAGTGGGTAATCTAGTTTTTATTAATGGTTTACTGATTTATACATACTCACTTATATGAAAAGAATTTGAAACAGTTGATACAGTCTGCTACTTTTAATTCCTTGGGTAAAACTAACATTATCTTAGCCCAACAATTTTTGAAGAATATACAAGTTGTGTGTGTGTGTGTGTGTGTGTGTGTGTTGAGAGTATCAACTAAATTTTTTACAGGGTACAGAATGTCAGATATATTTTCAAGATAATACTAAGATGTTTTATTTCACTCTGCTTTCTTGAATGGGCAGTGGTTTTCCAAAGGCTACATCATCACTCATCACCATCAGCACATCATCATTCTAAGAGTTAATAGAATGTTTACTTGACATTCCTTCATTTTCAAACTTTCTGTTTTAATTTCTAGTATGACAAGTATCAGTGGATATAATCCATATAAACAAAAGCTCTTTTGGATCTTTACTAGTTTTTAAGAGAGCAAAGGGAACCCAAGACCAAAAAACTTGAGAACTTCTGCCCTAAATTATGGTTGAATAACATATTAGGTAATACTCTTATGTAACAGTGGCATAAAAAGAATACATACTGCCCACTCTATCATTTCCAGAGTTCTGTGAGGACTCACTTATTCAAGGTATGTATTAAGCATTTTATGTTTTAACATTTATTCCTTAAATAAAAACAGAAAAGTCAGAGTTCGGGTCATTATCCTTTAGATAGAGCACATTCAAGTTCCCTTCTGGAAGAATGTTCATCAGTCAGATTCATTAAGTCTGACAGAGTGAGACTTATACACATTTGACATAAATATACAATGCAAAGCATTAAAAAAAAACCAAACACACCCCCAAAAATAGTACAATAAACTATTTTTACTTTTTGAGTTACCTTGTAAGGTAAACACATATGCTCCTTCCATGATTTGTTTGCATCTACGAGTATTTGTTATGCAAGGTCTGTATCTGTGAAAGTTTGTAACTTGAATTTTCATAAGTCAGAGACTCATACTGATAATCCTGATATATGTAAATTATAGTTAAGAATGTAATAAAGCACTCTGTAGGTTCAGGTGCCAAGATAAACAGCATATGTAATTAATATAGCAGAATTCACCTGTTATTATTTATTATTATTATCATCTATATTTTAGGGAAGGGTTTACAGGGTGTTCAGGGTCTCACTACTAGATCAGACTCATAGTGATTCTATTGTTTCCAGCCTCCCAAGTACTGGGATTACAGGTGTGCACCACCATGTCCTTTTTTTTTTTCCATGCCCAGTCTTAAATGGGATCAAATGCCCGGTCCTTGCACCTGCTGAGCTTTTTGGCCCACCCTCATACAGCAGAATTCAAAGAGAAAAGAGTCAAGGTAACCTGGAGTTATTAGGGAACTGGGGAGAACTGGGTGGGTCAGATATGGCAGTGCTGGAAGACTAAAACTGGAAACTAGGACTAGACTGAAAAGGTTAGTAGACAGCAGAATACAGACCCTAGCCTTTGTTTAGCTTAACTGGCAGTCACAGGAGGTTTTTTATTTTTAGCATGAATGACATATGTTGCAGCATACTAAATGGGCATTTTTAGGTGAGACAGGACAGATCAGTAAGTAGGCTTTTGGGGATGCTGAAACAATGTATGTTTGAGGTAATGAGAGTCTAGTAAAAGGAGAGATTTCAGACATGACTAAATTTGTAGGAAGGTTAAAAACCACACTCACAGACTGATTGAAGCTTATGGAAAATGGAAGCCAAAAATTATCATCTTGAGAAATGTGAGGGATAAAAATTTAAACAATTCCACAAAGTGGTAATGTAGAAAGTAACACCATCTACTCAAAAGATGTTCTAATAAAACAAATTGCTGAGTACAGTTGTGTAGGCTGGGAAATGCATGAGGCTACAACATCTGACAGAATACATGTCACTGGAGACACTTTAGAGTTGAATATGCATTTATACTGTCTTTCAGCCGAAGGCAGTGAAATACCTTAGGGAAAGGGTGCTTTCTTCCAATTTGCATGGGCTTAGTATGAGCTTGTGACAGCTTTAATAAGTGGTCAACTTAAAAATCTTAGAATATAAAAGAGACAGGGGCAAAATTTATCTCTCTTTACTTTTCTCTGCCAATTCATATACATTATCATAATCAAGTTGATGCATTTGAGTGATTTACATATGCTAAGTTCTCCAAACTGATAGAAAAGGCATACAGCCATGCGTAGAAGAGATTATCTACAGGCCATCAGGGCAGACAGAAAAGGTCCCTAAGTACAACTGCAGTGCAGCATGTAATTGCTGTAGTATAGCAGTACACATAATCCTAAAAGGTGCAGGAGAGGAGTGCAGTCTCACCTAAGAGGATTTGGGGGGCCTTCTGTGATGGTTTGTAAGAAAAGGTGAGGTTTGAGTTGAGTGCTAAAAGATGGAAAGGAGTTAGCCAGGCAAAAGAGCAGAGAAGGGCATTCAAGGCACAGGGAACAGCAGCAAAACTGAGTACAATTTATCTCTCAGAAAAACAACTCTATTATTACAGCTTATATCTTGATGTCCCCCCACCCCAAAGCCTCTTGCACTCATAGCAAGGGCTTTGGGGAGGAAATTTGATTAGTGAGTTTACAGCTACCTTGCTGATGGGAGGTGGGGGTCTGACTGGAAGAAGGACGTCATTGGAGGCATGGCCTGAAGGGTGTACCTCTCTCCCTAGCTCCTCCCTTCAGTCTTTCCTTTCCACCCCCATGCCAGGAGCAGCTGTGCTATCCTGCTTTGGCGCCAGCTGTCCAGGGACTATAAGTAGTAGCCCCAAAATCCTTTCCCCCATTATTGTGGGTGTTGGATTTTGTGTTTCAGCAATGAGAAAAGTCACTAAGTCAGTACTTTTGTGTGGATGGAGAGAACAAGGATGGGGATGAGGCAGAAATGGGGAAGAGGTGCTATTAGGTCCAATCAGTGACAAAAAAGACCACTCCAAGGACTTTTAATTTAAAGGCAGTGGGGAACTACTACTTATTTGAAATAGATTAATAATACAATTTGGGTTTTTACTGCTGCAAAATCACACCAAAAAAGAGATAAAGATATCAACAGAAGTTTCCTCTAAAAGTTAAGTGAGAGCCTTTTGAAAAGAAAATGGGAGAAACTAAGAAGTACTGTCAGGATCAAGTGAATGGATGACAGTGTGACATGGAGGGGTCTGAAGAGACTCTCAAGCAGCATCAGATACATCATTTGTGGGATCCAGTACAAAAAGAAAATGTTGAGCTCTTTGCTTAAATATCAAGTCTGGGACAGCAGACCAAACGTGGGTTTCTTCTGAGCCACCTTACTGGACTTGTTGCTAAGTTTCTCCTCAACCAAGTGAATGGATGACTGCAATCCTTTAGTTGTAAATGTGATGCATCCAGTTTGAGCATTTTTGAGTTTGAGGCCAGTTAAATTCAAGGCTGGAGACATAAATTATAAATCTGAAGTGGAGCCTGAGGAATGGATCACATTGTTCAGCCTGTCCCAAGAGCATCAGGTCAATACAGATGGCTAAAGAACCATCTAACAGAGAAGCTAATGAATCAGGAGGACAACTGTGAAAGCCAAGGAACAATTCAAACTCAGAAATTCCACACTTTGTTCTCTGTGTCCATTCATCCCCTTTACTGTACTGTTCACAATCTACAGGTGCTTGCTTAGCTCATTTTTTCTGCATTTGGCGTTTTAAAGTTTTTTTTTTTGGTGGAAGCGAGGGTTGAACTCAGGCTCTTGTGCTTGCCAGGCAAGTGCTTATTCTACTGAGCTATCTCCCCAGCCCCAGTTTTAAATTTTTCAAGGCAGATTCTATGTCTACCTTTTTTTTTTTCTAGCCCTTAGAATAATTTCTCCAAGAATATATGGCTAAAATGTCTAGAAAGTTAATCACTTAAAAAGAGCTTTCTAAACATGAAACAATGTGGGCAACTTGGCTCACTCTTTTCAACATTGTTGAAGAACTAGATTTATTTTTAGAAGAGTGAGACTATCATACCAATTATTTTTGAAGGGAAACAACAGTTATGAAATGACTATAAAAATTCTTTTTATTATAACAAACCACTCTTGCAACTACATGTATGTATACATATTGACACACACATATCTACATACACAGGCATGTGTAAACAAAACTTGATATGTGAGGGAGAAAACATTTTAAATTATTTTAAATTACAAGTTTACAATGCAGAGATATTTGTTAATGCATTCGTAAAAGTGATTTAATACCCACTGGACAGAATGCAATTTTTCTTTTTTATACTGATAACTAAATCTCCAAAAATCAAAGTTGGAGGGCAAACCTGGGATGGTGAACTTTCATCTGGGGATGGCAGAATCAAGCCGCGGCCACTACCCCACACCCAGGCGACAGCTGATCATTTCTTGGCTGGCTCTAGGGGAGCCTCTCGTTAGCGCTGAGGTTATTTTTATCCGCATCTCTGCTGGCTGCTGAGCGGGGCAGGTCGTGGCGCAGGCTCGGGTCTGGCGCTGTCGCGTCCCGAGCCCTCAGGGCAGCGAGCCCTCCAGACTCCCGCCAAGAGATGGACCAGGCAAGGCCGAGAGCTGCGCCGACATCCCTTCCCCGGCGAGAAGCTCGGGCCTCGGGTCTCTCCGGCCTTTGCAGCATCCCGGCCAGGACAGCCCCTCCAGCCCTGCCTTGCCCTGCCCTGCCCCGCCCGGCCCAGCCCGGCCCGCCTGGCCCCGCCTAGCTCCGCGAAGCGCTCGCGCCCTCGTCCGGCTGACCCCACCTCGGGCGCCACAGGCAAGACCCGACTCTCCCGCTCCTCCAGCTCCCGGCTGCGGCGGGCTCACAGACCTGCTCGGCCGCCGTCACCGCCGCTGCTGCAGCCATCTTCCCGCTCCAGCAGCCTCCGAACCGAGCTCCTCTCCGCGGCGCGCTCGCGCCTGCGCACTATCTAGGAGGTGGGCTCACTTCCCAGCGGGCCCCGCTCCGCCCCAGCCGGTCCCGCCCCGCCCCAGCCGGCCCCAGCCGGCCCCGCCCTGCCCCTCCCAGCAGGCCCCGCCTCTCCCCAGCCGACCCCGCCTCTCCCCAGCCGGCCCCGCCTCTCCCCAGCCGGCCCCGCCTCTCCCCAGCTGGCCCCGCCTCCTGCTACTTGGGGGGCCCTCACCCCGCCCCGGTCTGAGCCAGTTTAGTGACTGCAGGTGGGGTGGGGGGCGGGGCGGGGCGGGGCGGGGCTGGGCGCAGAGGGGAATTCAGGGACTGCAAAAATCTGGTAGCTCCAGCACATCCTAACAGGGCTTCCAAACCGTCTCCAGCAGCCCCTACAGTCCCACAAAGGGTCGCCCTCAGATCGTCCCTTTTCCCCACTCCCAATAGTGGAGGGCTGGTGTCGCCCTGAGTGGTGACGCTTTCTTTGACTCACGGGACAGGACGGAGTGATGACAAGGTGGATGCAAGTTAACGGTTGCCAGGAGCTGGCTCAACTCATAAAAATAGTCCCTCACTAGGAAGGTCTCTGAGTCACTTCAATTGCTTCTTAACTCTGGAGGATCGTGAATTCCTGCGTCGGTGGGCGCGGACTGTCCATACAGGATCTTGGCAACCATCTATACCAGGCATTCACTGCAAAGCAGAAAGCCACCCATGGGTGCAAGAAACCTCAGCTGTTCCCTGTGGGTGATATAATTCAACAATTCCTTTGGCAGAAAAAGAGGCGGTGAAATGCACAGTAACCCAAGTTCAAGAACTGTTGGTCTTGCAGCCAAATCAGTTCGAAAGCAGCCCCCCACCAGGCTGCCTAACTCAGCAGCAGGCGCCCTTTCTTTAGAAACTAGAGTCAGTTTTGCTTTTGATGACTGGAGTGGTTATTTGGCCACTCTGCCTACTTTATATTAGAGGATTGCTGTGAAGTTTAACTTAGATAACGCATCATGTAATGAATGTCTCCCAATCTTTTTTCTTTCTCATCACTGATTTTGGCTAAGGTGCTTACCCAACAGGTCATCATTTGCATATCCTCTTTCCCAAATATTGGAATTACATGACTCACATGTGCAGCCTGTAACCTGCTTTAATTTCTAGGATAAATCTGCATTTCAAGCAAAAAGTCTGTAAATTATAACCGAGGGCTTTGCAAAGTGTTGCTATGTTAGTAATCTGGTCCTGTTCCTATCCATCAGTTGAGATAACTGAGCTTTTGGCTGAATCTGAGTTCCTGTTTCCAAATGTGGTAAGGTACTCCTTAATTCATATGCTTTACGATTCTCAGCCAAGATACCCTTACTCATCCGCAAGAAACCACCCAACTGTCACACTGTTTTCAAAACCTTCCAAGGGTCTCATAGGCAACGTGAGCTGCTTTGCTCCTTGACTCAGCTTCTAGGCTTATGTGATATTCAGATTGGACTGTACTAAAGGCCCAAATCTCACTCACCCTTTTATCTCCAATGCCTGGCACAGTATGGAAACTAATTGTTTCAAAAATCTGTCTGATATTCCAATTTGTGCCTTGATTTGGCCAACATCTGTCTACTTAGGTGCTGAGATTACTGATCTCCATCTCTGATAGGACACCCCAGTTTTTAACTTGGCACCAGTTTCTGTCCTTTTAGAAGAGATCTGATTCAGTCAGGACCACAACTTTTGTGAGTCATTCCCAAAAGTATTATTTTCCACCCCTTACCCACCCCATAATGTCTTTGAGGCCTCTGTTCTTGGCAGTGTCTCTAATTCTCCCAACATTCTTATGAGGTAGTCCCCATTTTACAATTGGAGATAACCAAGGTTCACAGAGGCAGCCACGACTGGAGTTTGGATTTCTTTCCTTTTAGGGTATGAAACACTTTATTTACTTCAAGCTCTCCTCTCCTCTCCTCTAAGGATTGTGTTGAGAAGTGTGCTGTAATTCTAATGGGTTTTTATACATATGTGATTTGTGACTTTTCTCCAAGTTTTTAAGATTTTCATCTTCATGTTGGACTTCTGGGATTTTGACTACAATGTATCATAGAGAAGTTCTTTCATCATTATGACTTTTTGGGTTTCTATATGCCTCACTTATTTTAGGTTAAATTATATTCCTAAATGTGAAAAGGTTTTGGTATTATTTCTGTAAACTGATTTTTAATGCCATTTATGGCATCTTCTGATTTAGTCACTAATTCCATTAATCCCAGACAGGTCTTGTTTTTGCTATCAACTGTTGGGTTCATTTCCCACAATCTTTTGTTGTCTTCAGGGCGTTTCTGAGTCTATGATAACCTGCATCAGCCCTACTTTCTAACTGTGACTTTCCTAACATGGGTCACTTCTGCCACCCACACTTTTGGTAGTATTTCCATCTCCTCAGTTTGTTTGGTACCTTTTCATGGACACTACTTCTTTGCTAAACTGATCATTCACGTTTTGTTTAGCTCAGTTAGCTTTTTATTAGTGTCCTCTGAAAACTGCTTTATTATGTTTATCATGTGTTTAGTTATATCATTTTTCAGCTCACTGAGCACCTTATTGATCATTTTCCTCTTTTATCACTTTGTAAAATGCAGCTGTTTAGCTTCTTGTTTCCTCCTTATTGGTTACTCAAATCAGCTCTGTGGAAGTTGGGTGTTTGGGAAGCATTTTGTTGCCTTTTCCTCATTTGTCTTATGCCTATTGTGTGTGGGGGCACACATGTGTGTATGTGTGTGCATGAGTACACAAGCAAAGGGACAATTAAAGTAGAAAGACTTTGTTGCTAGTAAGGCAATATCTTTAGTTAGAGTCTGCTTTCTAACGACCCACTCCAGGCATGTCTTGTTATAGGCCTTTGCTGCTGTCCTAAGATTCAACCACTCTTCTAATGTAACGAGGGAAGGGTGCAACAAAATTGGTCCAGCACTCACATGTCCAGAAATGAGCCACAGTAATGTTGATGACATAAATCAAAACCAGATTTTCTTTTTAAAAAAAATGTATTTGGTACAGGATCTCACTACACAGCTTGGGTGACTCGGCTCACAAGTCGAGACGTGGGGTAATGACCTGGAGGAGGAATGGGGATGAACAAGACAGGGCAAGAGACACGAGAGACGGAGACAAGACAGGCTTTCTGATCAAGTCTCATTTATTGAGGAAGTGAGCGGGGTCTAAATAGCTGTATAGTGGAAATAGTTGGGTGGGACTAGTTGTGGATTGGTAGTGGAGGTCCAGGACCACAGGAAGATGTTGAGGCAAGCGGGGATTGGTGCTGCAGCACTTCTTGCCCAAACAAGGGAAAATATAACAGGAGCGATCTATCGCCCCCTACACTTGGGCTCACAGTGATCCTCCTGATTTCAGCCTCCCCAGCACTGGGATTACAGGCGTGCACCACCATGTTCAGACTTGGTGGCCCGCTCAGCAAGGTGGGGGGAAAGTGGGGGGCTGGTGCATGGTGTTGGGCAAAAATAGATATTGTCATACAGTAGAAACCAACTAATAGCATTGCCACAACTGGCAATAGCAAAGAAATCAACAACAATAATGAGTCAAAGATACATTGGATGTTGACGACCATAAAAACCCAATAAAATCTAGCCTTGTACCACCCTTAACAAGAGAAAGAGATTTGCAATAATAATATGGACACAAAAACAAACCAAATTTGGATGTAGTAAATACTGCTAAATGCAACAATTATACTATAATTAACACTAGAAAAGAACTCAACACTAGTAGTTTTCATTATATCTAAATATTAAAAAACTTGATAGTAGTACTAATAAAAATGGAGGGCAAAGGGGAAAATGAATGAAGTAATTTTTTTTTTTTTTTTTCAGAACTGGGGATTGAACTCAGGCCCTTGCACTTGGCAGGCAAGTGCTTATTCAATTGAGCCAACTCCATGACCCTAAAATTTGAAATATAAAAAAAGAAAGATAGGAAAAGGGAGAGAAAAGTGATAAAATAACTAAGCAGTAAAAGAAAATGGAGATAACTAGATAAAAGTGGCAGAAAAGAAACAGTATCAGAAAGGAGCAAACAAGGAATACAAGGAAGAAAACAAACAAATAAACAAACAAACAAACTTCACATCCCATAACACCAAAAAGGAAAATGAGAAATGAATTTTAAAATTTCCTTTGTGTGTCTGAATGCCTCATATTTGAAGTCTGGAATATGGGTCTCCACCAGGTGAGGCGGAGGGGTAACAAGCCATACTGAATCCTATTTTGTTTCCTCAATGCTTTTTTGTGCGTGAATGCTTACCCTGCCCTGTCTTTCCTGCTGGTACGGGGACTCCAACTCCTCTGAAGCGTAGTTGTTCTGGGGTTTCTGGTTAGCAGTGTAGTTTGGTCTTAAACATTTAACCCTTGCCCAAAATGGCTTCTGACCAATGAATCTCAGATATGGTGGGATTTCTTCTCTGTGTCTTGCTTGCTATGTGGAAGGAGCTGCTTTCAGAGTAAAGCTATTACTCTTGAGCTATTTTTGCAGTTTATAGTACATATTCTTTTAACTTTAATTTTAATTTTTTTTTGTCCTGTCAGAGGTGAATATTCTATTGGCATCTAAATACTATAGGTGTTTGAATTCAACTAAACAATCTAACACTTTCTAGCAGTCTATAATATTAGTGGGTTATCCTCAGAAGTTATTGACTTGAGCCTTTTACAGCTCATCATATTAATATGGATTTACTTTATATACCTCATTTTTTATACTTTTCTGCTGGATGGTTAAGACCAAGATATAGCAAGACCTACATGCCAAGAAATGTAACTTTTGTATCTGATAAGGTCAGCCAAGTACTCTCAGGATTTATCCTGTAGCCCTGTACCGCCTTTTTTTTTTTTTTTTTTTTTAATTTTATTTATTTATTTATTTGAGAGAGAGAGAGAGAGAGAGAGAGAGAGAGAGAGAGAGAGAGAGAGAGGCCAGCTCAGCCCACCAGGGGGCGGGCTGGCTGGCATGTGGTGCTGGGGGATTGAACCGCGGTCCCTGATGCTTTTGCTAAGCTTGTTCTAAGTAGGTGCTTTAGACCACTGAGCCATCTCTCCAGCCCTCTGTACCGCCTTTTGCATAGTACCTATTCTTAAAAACAACAACAACCATAGTTTAGAATTGTACTATGAATATGTTTCCATTCAAAGAAACAGTATGCATATTTCATTTTGTTTATTTTTGAGACAGAGGCTCACTGTGTAGTTCAGGTTGGCCTTGAACTCACTATGTAGTTGAGGATGGCCTTGAACTCACTGCGATCCTCCTGCCTCAGCCTCCTGAGTTCTGGGATTACACACTATGTGTATTTTAAAAATCAAGTAATCACAATCTTAAAACTCATTTTCTGCCTTGTTTCCCACAAAGCACAGAAATATTCATGAAGTAAAACTCAGTCTTAATACAGGCAAAGAAATTCAGGTCATATTTGCTTTTTCCTTTTAAAAATGTCTCATCTAACGATATTTTTGCAAGTCTTTTGCAGTAGGCCATCTCAGATACCTTTTTGGAAGTCAAGGATATGTGCATGTGTATGTACAGATGTAAGCCATGAATAAATGCATGATACATTTCCTTTGTTTCAATTCACTGAGTGGAAGGTCAATGCTTTTTTGTTATCAATAAACAGGCCCTGCTATGTTTAAAATATTGCTTCTGAGATCTAGCACAAATGACAGCAGGCTTTCCCAGTCTTGAACCTAGTTGTGAGGCTAGATTCAGAGAACATGTGTGGAGGTAGCACCTTCTAAGAGGATTGCCAATATTTAATTTATCCTAAAATTGTGTTCAATTATTAAATTAGTTTAATATGGATATTGGGTGAATGTATATTCTGCTTTAAATCAGCAGCTTGAGCATTGATACCTTGGTTATTTTTCTGAAGATGGTAACATTTTGAAGTAACTTTTTTTTTTTTTTCCCACATGGGACTGAACACCCCAGCTCTTTTACTTTAAATTTTTTTTTAGTATATTTTGGTTATATAAAATAATCTCTTTCTCTTTCTTTCTTTCTTTCTTTCTTTCTTTCTTTCTTTCTTTCTTTCCTTTTGTTTTTGAGAGGAGAGTTTCACTATGTGGTTCAGGGTGGCCTTGAACTCACTTTGTAGCCCCGGCTGGCCTTGAACTGTAAGTGACCCTCCTAACTCAGCCTCACAAGTACTGAGATTACAGGCACATGTTACGATGCCCAGCTCTAGCTCCTTTTATTTTGAGACAAGGCCTTGCTCAATTGTCCAAGCTAGGTTTGAACTTGTGACCTGCTTGCCTACCCTCACAGAGCACTGGTGTTACAGGCCTGTGCCACCACACCTAGCTTGAGGAAAATAAATGTTTTCATCATTTTCTAAATAAATTTTCAAGTAGCAATTACTTTGCATGCTCATGACAGAAATTTCAAAAATCAGAAAATTTAAAAATGTATTAAAGTCATTCATAATCATACCCTGGGTTCATAGTATATAATTTACTGCAATATATAATCTAGTGTTCTCCATTTTCTACATTGTATGTTGAGAGTGTTGTGGAATTTAAGAGCTAGGAAGAGGTCAATGGAGAAAAATAGGACTTTTTTAGGTGTGTACCAGCTCAGATGATAAATCCAAATGGCTGAGCCTAGGACAAAGGACAAGTTCTTGCCTTTATACTTCTGGTCAAGGAGGTTGGTCTTCGGCATGGAATTTGTGGGCTGGTCTGTCAAACTGTGACAGCTGTATCTTGGTGGTCCTCTCAGACATAATAGGATGTCCCAGGAGCGGGGTCCTATAATTTCACTTACAGGGACAAAGGTTATTGCTTCAAGAGTTCCTAGATATTAAGATATTGTTCAGTTGCAAGATTTTTTTTTGTATCTCATTGAATGACTCTTTTTATCCATTACCCCGTTGTTGGAAAGTGACTTTCAACCTACTTTTATTTGGGTGTCATCCTTGCACCGGGGCCATGCTAATCTTCTCTGTATTGTTCCAATTTTAGTGTTTGTGCTGCCGAAGCAAGCATATACTTTATTGAATACAATACTGTGGTCTGTATTCCTAATAGTAGTAATTATAACATTTATCAAGCACTTACTACAGTGCATGAGAAGAACTGTTCTAACTACATTACAGGAATGATCTTAGTTGTATAACAATCAATGAAGTAATAAATATTGTTCTCTTATGGGTAATGAAACCAAGTGTTCCAAGGGAATTTATTAATTATGCAGTCCACACAGCGAGGAAAAAAGGTTTTTTTTCGATTTTCTTTTTTTTGCTCAGGGTCTCACTACATAGCCCACATTAGTAGTGATCCTCCTGATTTGTGCCTCCCAAATACTGGGATTACAGGTGCGCGCCACCGTGCCCGGACTCCATCGCCGGCTCAGCGCACCCGAAAGTGGGGCCGGCGCGGCAGGCGGAGCCAGGTATCGAACCCTGGCTCCTGAGCTTATCTAAGCAAGCGCTTAGTCCACTGAGCTATACCGCTGGCCCTGCTAGTTTGGGTTCTACTCTGCCATAAATAGCTGTTCCACTTCTTTTTTTTTTTTTCATGAATAAATAAACAATCGTTCAAATTTCTATTATCTGGTGGAATATGTAATTATTGGGACTGAATTGAAAATTTGTGACGTTTCTTTGTCCTTTCTTTCACCCACACAGACACACGGCGCGCTCACACACAGTATTCTAGGAAGATTTTTTTTTTCAGTACCAGGGATTGAATTTAGGTCTAGAAAGATGTCTAATGAATAATTTTTTTTTGTTGTTTTTGTTTAGTAATTAGCATTCTATTATAATGTGATCTCTAGAAAATTGTAGGAATACAGGCTCCAGAATGAGCCTTCCATTTTATAATGGACAGTAAAATCACTACAATTAAGTGAAGTAAAAAGTGGTGGTGCAAATTCCTAATTTTATGGTAACTGCATATTAGTTATATGCAACGTTAATACTACTCCTGCTGTCTTAATAGATCATTTACAAGTGGCACACCATTGATGGCATATAAAACAAGGGATTGCTTCTTACATTCTTCGCGATGGTTGAAATTTTAGCTCTACTGAGATAGTTTAATAGTGCCAAAGTGGGTGCGAACTTTCACAAAGTCTCAGTTAAAGAATTCTGAATTGGGCGAAGCTTTAGTGTCGAACGACTCTAAAAACATGTGGAAATATATTCCAACCTCACCCAACTTTGAGAGATTAACTGTAATCTGTGAATCTCCTGGAGCTAATAGCCGAGTACTGACTCGGATACCCCTCCCGCGGGCCAAAGAAAACTGCAGGCGCTAGAAGGGGGAAGAGCTGAACTTTTAGCTCCGGTAAGTTCACGCGGGCAAACCCTCGGTTCGAACGGAAGGCCCGGGCCGCGCGGGGCTCGCGGGCCGCGGGGGCGCTCCCTGGGGCGGAGGTCGGGCTCGGCCCCGCG